CACATACAGACGAAGAGTGGACATTCTCTTGTGCTTTTGACCACTGGGCGGCAGTGATGTTTTCCTCAAAGTCTTGTTGCCATGCCTCCCTCAGGTGTTCCAATGAAGGCATGCCCTCCAGTTTAGAAAAGTCTTTGCAGATTTTTGAGATTGAACCCTTTTTCAGCGGATGTCGTAGAAGTAACATATTAAAATCCTAATCAGGGGGCTGGTAGGGGAAGGATGGAAAGTTTGTTTTTGCAAAATTGTGGATTTGTAAATATTTTAAAAAGTCTGTTCTCATGATCTTGTATTTTATACAAAGTTGCTCAAATGTTGCAAATGTTCTCTGAATGAAGAGATCCTGCAATGACCTTATTCCCTTTTCCTCCCATTTAAAAGATAGCTCTGGACATGCTATCCAAGTTATTGGAGCCAATAATGACATCTCTTTCCACTTAAAATGTTTTCTGATTTGATGCAGGATTTTTACAGAGTGAGAAACTACAGTACTTTAATGATGAATAAATTAGAGCTTGCAATGACATCGGTTCTATACTTTGTTTTTCCATCTCTACCCACTCAGCCTAGACATTACACCAAAACGACATGGACCGTATGTTACAAGACCAGTAGTAAAACTTAAGGTGAGGTAGCACCAGTCCACCAAGAGATCTAGGTCTTTGCAAAAATGTTTTCTTAATTCGAGGAGTCTTTTTCCTCCATATAAATTGTGAAATGAGACTATCCAATTTGCTGAAAAAAGATTTAGTAATATAATAAGGGATACACTGAAACAGGAACAGGAATTTTGGCAAGACATTCATTTGTATAATGTTGATTCTTCCCATCATCGAGATCGGAAGATTCATCCATTTGTCTAGGTTTCGCTTTGTCTGATCAAATAGGATAGAAAAGTTATGTTTGAAAAGACCTGAAAACTCTTTAGTCACTGTAATTCCTAGATATTTAAAAGTGTCTGATGTTGTAAATGGAGATGCATTGAGAAAGGTTGGTAGTTGTCTTGAGGTACTCATTATTGGAAAAAGCACACTTTTTGAAAAATTTGTTTTGTATCCTGATATTGACCCAAATTCACTCAGAATGGACCTTATAACAGGCAAGGAGTTCTCGCCGTTTGATACAAAGAGCAATAAATCATCTTCATACAACAAAACCTTATGCTCAGTATTGCCTCTGATTATGCCAGAGTATCCCACATTTGTTCTTAGGGCTATGGCCAAAGGTTCAATTGCTATTGCAAATAAAAGGGGGGATAAGGGACAACTTTGACGAGTTGAACATTCTAAGGGAAAGTAAAAAGAGTGAGTATTGTTGGTGCGGACAGAGGCTTGAGGATGGAAGTACAGTAACTTAATCAAAGATACAAAAATTGGGCCAAAACTAAACCCCGACAGGGCCGAGAAGAGATAGTCCCACTCGACCCTGTCGAAGGCCTTCTCAGCGTCCAGCGAGAGCAGCAGTTCCTGTGTCTTTTTATCTTTCCCAGAATAGATTACATTAAATAGTTTCCTAATGTTAAAGAACAAGTGCCGATCTTTTATAAGCCCTGTTTGATCTTTTAAAATAATAGTGGGGAGTATATTTTCAAGGCGTAGTGCTAATATCTTTGCTAGGATTTTATAATCTACATTAATAGGTCTGTATGAGCCAGGGTCCAAGGGGTCTTTTCCAGATTTTGGTGAAATGCTGGCTTCATAGAAAGACGGTGGGAGGGTCCCCTTAGTTATTGCCTCATTAAATACTTCTAGTAGGGTCGGAGATATTTGGTCCTTAAATGTTTTGTAAAACTCCGTGGTAAATCCGTCTGGACCAGGAGATTTCGATGTCTGCATTGAAAGTATGGCTTGCTTTATTTCTGTTATTGGTTCTTCTAATACACTTTTGTGGTTTTCACTGATTTGGGGAATAACAAGATTCTTGAGAAAGTTATCTATTCATTTAGAGTCTTTTTTGGAATCTGACATATACAAATTAGAATAAAAGGCTTTAAAAGTGTTTTGAGATTTCATAACACTTTGAAGCAACTTTTGTTAAGGTTAAAGTCATCATTCTATCAATGTGCAGAAGCCAGTACTTTTCCCTTGTTTTGTCTATCTGAAGGCCAAGCGACAAGCACACCGTGTAAGCTGCTGATTGGAGGTCTCCATGCCTCCGCTCTGTATAATACACTTGCATTCTGTTGTATCTGTGCTCGTGTGCTTTGTTCGTGCTGTCTCTACCATCGACAATAAAACATGTCTTCTGTCTGAATTTATGACACGATCCGGGACATGTCATCGTGTTTTTTTTTTTTACACAAAAAGTGTTTTTTTTTTTAAGCCAAAACTGAGAAACCTCAAGAGAATGCATCTGGATCAGCACACATGGACAATCTGCACAGCCCCTAATTCCAGTCGGACCTGCTGTGAGCTGCTGAGACATGGACAACACCATCGTCCTCTTTTGCATGGACATGATTTGGAACAATTGGATATCTGAATTTGGACATAATTTGGACTGAATTGAATTACTGAATCTGGACACTAAAGCTGAAACGTGTGATTTGAAAGACACGTCACAGAAGAACTCACTGCCATGGCTCGACACAAATGCAGCCTGAAGAATCAACACGGAGAAGTGGGAGAGACTGTTTTCAAAGCAATATCTGAGAACCACCATCGACTGATGAAGTTTGGTATTTTACTGAAGATTGTTGACAAGTTTTATGAAAGATCTGAACATGTTTTATGAGTTTTCTGAGTTTTTGAAGTATTCCGAGTTCTGAGTTTTTTGAAGTACCGAGTGAAGTACCGAGTTTATGAATTTTTGAAGTATTGAGTTATGATGTTATGTTGCTGTTAATCGATCCTGATGGTCACACGGGAATGTGTGACCAGAGGAGGGAATGTGAGACACTTTGAAGCAACTTTTGTTAAGGTTAAAGTCATCATTCTATCAATGTGCAGAAGCCAGTACTTTTCCCTTGTTTTGTCTATCTGAAGGCCAAGCTACAAGCACACCGTGGAAGCTGCTGATTGGAGGTCTCCATGCCTCCGCTCTGTATAATACACTTGCATTCTGTTGTATCTGTGCTCGTGTGCTTTGTTCGTGCTGTCTCTACCATCGACAATAAAACATGTCTTCTGTCTGAATTTAAGACGCGATCCCAGACTTGGTACATCTTCCTCAGTGTCATTAATGTCCCTTGGTTCAATAGTTATTTGTCCAGTCTGAGTCTTTATTTTGGTTATTGATCTCGAAGCTTCCTGTTCCTTAATTTGATATGCTACTTGTCTACCCATTTTCTCTCCATATTCATAATGTTTATGCCTTAAGTGTGTTAGTAGTCTGGTTGTTTCAGTAGTGTACAGCATGTTCAGTTCTGTCTGCAGAAACTGTCTTTTATTATACAAGTCAGAAGTGGGAGTAATTTGGTATAGTCTGTCTGTTTCTATGATTTTGTGTAATATTTCACTTTCTTTTTCTCTCTTTTTGTTGTTGTTATAACTGCTCCATGAAATTATCTGCCCGCGTAAGTAGGCCTTTTGAGCTTCCCAGAATGTGCTTTTTGAAACATCTGGTGTATCATTAGTATTCTGAAAAAAATCCAGATGTTTTTTAATTTCTTCAATTCCTTTTTGGTCGGTTAACAAGGAATTGTTAAGTCTCCACACCTTTGTTGATTTGTATCCAAAAGACATTTCAAGGAGTACTGGGCTATGGTCCGACAGGACAATTGCTTTATATTCAGAGCTATGCACCTTTGGTAATAAATCGTGATCAATTAGGAAGAAATCCATCCTAGAGTAGGAATGATGTACCGGCGAAAAGAATGAATGTTAGGATTTAACTCTCTCCAAGGGTCTACTACTTTACAGGCATTCATGAAGTTATGAATGGACTTGGCTGATTTTGTCAGGGCTGCTGCTCTCGGTGAAGATTTATCCAGTTGCGGGTCGAGTATCAAGAATTGATTGTCGTCAATATTAGGGGCATATATACTGATCATTGTGATTGGATTGTTGTGAAGAGTTCCTGCAACAATAACATACCTGCCTTTTTTATCTTGAATTACTTCTTCCATAACAACTGGTATTGATCTTTTTATAATTATTGCAGCACCTCTACTTTTATTGCTATAATGGGAGTGATATATTTGTCCGATCCATCTCTTACACAGCTTATTGTGATCACCATCCTTCAGATGAGTCTCTTGTAAGAAACCAATGTCTGTACCAAGTTTTTCTAAATGAGCTAATATATTGCCTCGTTTCACAGTTCCATTTATCCCCTTACAGTTCCAAGTCACAAATTTGACAGTGTTTAGTATTTTGGAAGTACTCACATTTGCTTTGTAGTCTGGACCCATCCTTGGGAAGGGGAAAACATCCATACACACCTTCACACACACACACACACACACACACACACAAAAAACAGAACATAAACCCACCCACCCCTCTCTGTCTTTCCCCAAATGAAAGACCTAATTGTAAGGACTAACTTCTTAACTGAGAGGAAACTAACTCTCAAAACTTCTCACTAAACTTTGCTATTGGTAAATAATAAGACATTATAAGACATAATAAACATTATTATTCTTATTTTTTTGTTCTTTTTTTGTCTCTGGGTCTAACCGTATGAAACTAGGAGCAAGTCAAAAGTAAAGAGGTAAAATAAATACAAATAACTAAAAGGATGTATAATGTGTATACACATCCAGAAAATAAATGTCTGCTATTACGCAGTCACATTTACATGCAATTGACCATGAGATATGCATTAAAAAAAGATATATATATATGGACACACATATACAAAAAAAAAATATATATAAAAAATATATATATAGTCAGCATACATTTATACAAAGTATAAACGCCTGAAAAAAATGGAATCTTATATAAAATTTCAATTTTTATATAACACTGTCCGATATGCCAAACCTCTTTTCTTTCGATTGTCTTTCAGTCTTTTTGTCTGTCTTGCTCCCAGGTCTTTTACTTTGTTTACTTGCTTCAGTCGTCTTTATCTCCGTTGGCTGCTGGTGCGATGTTGCGGATGAACTCCTCCACTGCTTGTGGCTCCGTGAACACGTGCCTGGATCCTTTCACCGTTATCGTCATCTTCGCTGGATAATACAGGCTGTATGGGATTCCTGCATCTCGTAGTTTGGGCTTCACTTGGTTGAATGAGGCTCTGAGGCGGCCCACCTCTGGGGAGATGTCTGGAAAAATATGTACCACGGAGCCATTGTAGGAGAGCTTGTCTTTTTCTCTGGAAAGTCTCAAGATTGTTTCTTTCTCTGTGAAGTAATGCATGCGGGCAAGGATTGCACGGGGGCGGTCGCCTAGTGTTGGTTTTGGGGCAAGAGTTCTGTGGGCCCGGTCAATTATTGGGGGAGAAGCAAAGTTTTCCGGCCCCAAAACTTGTTGCAGAAAACGTGCTACAAAGTGACGGGGATCACCTCCTTCTGCGCCTTCTTTGATCCCTGTAATACGTAGATTTTGCCTTCTGCTTCTATTTTCCAAGTCCATGCATTTTTCAGAAACTTTCTTGTATCCTTTTCCAGCGATCCATGTGCTCTTTCCAGCATGGTCAACCTGTCGCTGTAATCATTGAGAGTCTGTTCAATCTCAAAGTGTGCCTGTTTGATTTCCTCGTGGTTGTAATTTAGCCTGCTAGTATACGCCGATAACTCTCGTCTCAGCGCATCACCATCAGCTTTAGCCTCCAGTCGCAGAGCGGTGATTTTTCTTTGGATGTCGGATTTCATTCTCCCCATCTGCGTTTGAATATCCACTGATAAGCCTTCTCTGAGTGTTTGCAGTGCGGTTTTCAGAGTTTGTACCGTGAGAGGAGACTCCTCCGGTTGGTCTGTGGCTAGCAGTGCAGCCTCCGCTATGTTGCTATCTTCTTTGGTTTTTCGGCAGCCAGTAAGTGTTGTAGTAAGTAAAGACTTATTTCTCCGACCCAGAAACTTTTTAATCAATACATTTACGCGAAGCTGCCGTAGGTGCGCTGCTCACTCCATAGGGCGGAAGCGGAAGTCACCGCACATACTTTATTTTTAATCTTAATATGTTGCAAACTTCTGTCTTTTTGCACAATCTGAGTGATTATATCTATGCCAAATTTTATTTTATCTTATCTTATAAAATATTTGTAAATCTTTTCCATATGGGTCAGCTGGCCTGGGGACGCCTTGGGATTCCCCCAGATGAGCTAAAGGAAGTGTGTGTGGAGAGGGAAGTCTGGGCATCTCTGCTGCCCCTGCAACCAAGGTAATGGATAAAGCAGAATAAAATGTATTGAAAAAAATGCTTCCTGTGGATGAGACTTCCAGATGGAGAGAGTGAGAGCAGCCTACGCCCCAGGGCTCTAAATGGACCGACCAAAACTGGACGGCATCCCGGCTGCATCCAAATTCATCAACATTTCTCCTTCCTTTTCCTCAGTATCTGCAGTGGGCATTTTTAAAAGTCACTCAAAAGTCCAGCAGCCTAAGTTATCAGGGTTAAGAGGATCTCCTGTAGATCATAATGTTAACAGCTCAGCTTTCACAAAGGTCAGCTTTAGTGGGACATGCGTCCTCTTTGTATCATTTACTATTCCTGTTTGAAATCCCACTTTAATGTGTTATTCTGATGTTTGTGTTCCAGACCAGACCAGACCAAATCATATTTGGGGTGGCCAGGGTGGATAAATGTTTGTGTGTGTTGGCGTCAGTACGTCTGTAAAAGCTAAATCTGACTCTCTGTTCTCTGCACATTTGTTATTGTGGGACACATGTGTCAAACTCAGCAGGTGCAGACGTGTGTCATTCAGACCAGAGACAGAGGAAGGGACAGGGACAGGTGGGACAGGGACAGAGGCAGTTGCAGGAACAGACGGAGATATGATGCTAATGTGGCTAAAGCTATATTTTTTATGTTCATTCATGACTGTTGAACATGTTGCTAGTCCAACGCTGTCTTCATGTGAAACATATGAAAATATGTTATCTTTTGAGTATCTAAATAAGTAAAAGCATCTAAAGCTCACACTGAAACTCATCAACACACATTCAGTTTGAACCTCTCAGCTTCTCTGAACACCTGCACACATGAGTGTTCCACATGAGTACTGGTTTAACTAGATACATGTTAATGTCCTGGAAATATGTTTTCATCTTTATGAGAGTCACTGATGAACCTCGGGCTGATAAACCACATCAGCTAAACATAAAAAGTCAGTGTTGGTGTATCACAGACGATTACTGTTTGAATCTGACTTTTTATCCAACACTTGAGCTGTGGTCTGGAGCTCCCATAGCTGTGGGTGTGGACCAATGGAGCTGTTACAACTACTTTTGTGGATGGTAAGTTTTGATCCCCAAAGCAAAACTGAAGGCCAAATCAGTTATTAGTCTTTTATAAGCAAAATACTCAAAACAAGACAAAGCCGTGGATACAAGGAGCAGGCTGGCTGGAGAGTGGATGAAAAACAAACCAGAGAACTGGACGAGGCAAGTGTGATTGGTAAGATGGGATTCAACCGATCTAATTGCAGACACTGGGACCAGACCCAGATGGTACATGCAGGGAAATGATAGAGGAAAGAGGAGGGGGGAAGAAAAACATGCATCCAGAACCCTAACAACTTTAATTCAATTAAAACAATGTATGTGTGTCTCCCCTAAATCAGTACGTCTGTAAAAGCTAAATCTGACTCTCTGTTCTCTGCACATTTGTTATTGTGGGACACATGTGTCAAACTCAGCAGGTGCAGACGTGTGTCATTCAGACCAGAGACAGAGGAAGGGACAGGGACAGGTGGGACAGGGACAGAGGCAGTTGCAGGAACAGACGGAGATATGATGCTAATGTGGCTAAAGCTATATTTTTTATGTTCATTCATGACTGTTGAACATGTTGCTAGTCCAACGCTGTCTTCATGTGAAACATATGAAAATATGTTATCTTTTGAGTATCTAAATAAGTAAAAGCATCTAAAGCTCACACTGAAACTCATCAACACACATTCAGTTTGAACCTCTCAGCTTCTCTGAACACCTGCACACATGAGTGTTCCACATGAGTACTGGTTTAACTAGATACATGTTAATGTCCTGGAAATATGTTTTCATCTTTATGAGAGTCACTGATGAACCTCGGGCTGATAAACCACATCAGCTAAACATAAAAAGTCAGTGTTGGTGTATCACAGACGATTACTGTTTGAATCTGACTTTTTATCCAACACTTGAGCTGTGGTCTGGAGCTCCCATAGCTGTGGGTGTGGACCAATGGAGCTGTTACAACTACTTTTGTGGATGGTAAGTTTTGATCCCCAAAGCAAAACTGAAGGCCAAATCAGTTATTAGTCTTTTATAAGCAAAATACTCAAAACAAGACAAAGCCGTGGATACAAGGAGCAGGCTGGCTGGAGAGTGGATGAAAAACAAACCAGAGAACTGGACGAGGCAAGTGTGATTGGTAAGATGGGATTCAACCGATCTAATTGCAGACACTGGGACCAGACCCAGATGGTACATGCAGGGAAATGATAGAGGAAAGAGGAGGGGGGAAGAAAAACATGCATCCAGAACCCTAACAACTTTAATTCAATTAAAACAATGTATGTGTGTCTCCCCTAAATCACAGCAGCAGTCGACTCGAACACAGTAATTACAATAAATGTTTTTATCTCTTGTTAAGCAGCTATCCTTTCTAAAGTCTTCCTTTAATGTTTACCCAGTTGGTGTTTAGCGTTTCTTTAAGAGACAGTCTTTCAGTCAAGTCGATGCTAATGCTCATGCAAGTGAGCATTAGCATTGCACGCATCTTCTTCACTTCCGACTTCTGGTTCCTCGTTGTCCATAGTTTGGGTCATCTTTTCTACCATCTCTTTTATTTCGATTTACCCCCATTCACAATCAGTACTGATGTAATAGTAATTGATGTGTTGATGATGTATTAGAGGGGTTTAACAGCCTGATTTCACAGAGCGCTTTGTTCAGGCCTGTGCTCCTGTTCATTGCTCACCGGAACTCACCTCCAAAGCTTTCTGTGTGGAGTTTGTTCTCTCCGTGTCTGCATAGGTTTCCTCCGGATGCTCTAGTTTCCCCTACCACTAAAAGCAGTTGCAATAGGTCTGGCATGTGCTTCCTGTTTGGTGATCCTGCTCCCATCTCTGTGTGGAGTGTGTGGACAAATGCCCTCAACAATTTGAAAGTGCTTTGTGACTCTGGTCTGGTCACTTATCTGGAGAGACTTGAGATGAAGATGCATTAGACTATTTATTATCGAGATGCATGAATAAACACCAGCAGACTAATATATTTATTGCATTAGGATTGGCAATCCCGGCAGGAATACTGCATGAAGTATGCAGAAGGGAGTTTCATAGAAACTATAGCTTGCAACCCCCCGGGGCCTAGAACCTGGTGGAGAAGAAGCTGAGCCAGACTTGACATGATACTCCTCTGAAGAGGCGGTAATGGGGAGGAGGTGGGTTGCTGCTAGAACAGCAGCTTGAGCTGCAGAGACCACAGTAACACAGGCGTGTTTCTGAGCTGGATTTCTGTTGGGCTCAGGTGCAGGTGTGTAAAGGGAGGAGTCCAGTGTGGCAGCTTGATGTGTCTTTGGTCTTCCAATCTGAATTTGTGCTTAAGCTTTATGATATAAATAGAGATTAAAAAACATGAGCCATTGCTTCATAGGAAGCAGTATGACCACTGTCTAGAAATCATCATCAGACCTTCCTGACTGTTTCAAGTTAATCACATTTATAGATTCTGATAATTCTTGCCGGTCAGTGATCTCTGTTCAAGTAGTGGAGACTCTGGGTCCACAGTGGGCTCCTGGATGCGAGACAGACTGCATGCTGATTCAGATGTTTTGATTCAGCTTAATGTAGTGATGTGTGGATGAGTAGACCCTGGAAAGAGTGCTGCTGGAGCACTCCTGTGTGTACTGTACTGTATGTTAGTGGAGGAAGGGAGCTCCAAAGGCCAAATACAAATCCTAATGTCCACTGGGAGCTGATATTTCCTTCTCGGCTTAAACAATAATAAATGAATGTTCACACACAAACCCCTCATGGACGAGATGTGCAGGAACAAATGCAATGAATGTGATTTTAAAGCCACCCTGTGTAATTTTTACAGTTGCTTCATATGAAAAAACATGTGAACTAATGACAAATGTGACCTTTTTAAGAATATTTACCTCCACCATGTTTTTAAATTGTTTTTTTTTTAGCTTAGAATTTCAGTTAGGAATTTCCATGAGAGAGGAGTCTCAGTGTCAATGCGCCATCTTGAAATACAGTGGTGGATAAGGGACAAAAAGAATGCGAGAATCGAGTCTTTGTTTCACATTAGCTACTGACATCGTTGCTTTCATGTGCCTTTACAAGTTTGAAAAAGGAACTATGGAAGACCACACTTATATAAAAACCATGGAGGACCACTGTTATATAAAAAAACCATGGAGGGCCACAGTTATGTTAAAGAATGACCCGATCAACAATCTTTTCGAAAAATAATTTAGCAAAAGTCTGGCGTCATAGCAGCAAAGTGCAGGAGCCACATCGTGTAGTTTGTACACAACACACTCACACAAGAACAATACGTAACTTTTTTCACACTGATAATAATGAGAACAAGGCAGAATCTGCAACACAGTCTCAGGATGTTCTGACCCGATCTGAGCGCAGTCCAACTATGTCACAAGTTTCAAATAAGCTTATTAAGGGACAAAGCCTCAAATAAAATCCCCACAAAACAATTGC